GCCGACCTCTGCCTCCACGGGCAGCTGCGGTCTGACAGGTAGCCCTGCAGCAGCTGCAGGACCTCTGTACGTCTCCAGCAAGGCCTGGGCCACGGGAACTGGAGAACCACAGAGGGTACAGAGTTGCCCTCTGACCTACAACCTTGCCTGCCATTCCTCAAACGGCATCGACACTGGCTCGCTGGAGCCAACGTTTTCTCCATTTCTGAGCTTGCCATCTAGGATAGCGAGCTTGTCCGCCCACTTGACTCTGAGGATCTTTTTTCGTTCCAGATCCTGTGTCCTGCGGTGAAAGCCGCAAGGCACTGATATCTGACTGATGCAGAACTCAATTCTGAAGCAGCACGGTCTCCTGTCGCACTCCGCGATCCTGGCCTGGATCCAGGCCTCCATGGCGGGGGACCTGCCAGAGCATCACATCGTTCCACTTCGGGGTCTCGGTTCTGCTTCGGGTGTCTGGGTGCTGCATCAGCGGTTCGGGGTTCGCCATGTGGTGACAACGTGGCGACTACTCAAGTGCTGATGCAGCACGCTGTTTCGAAGTGGAACGTAGGCGATGTGGAACGGTATAATGCATCGTTTTCCTCGGAGCATCCACGATTTCAGGTTTTTAGGCAGTTTTGCGTTTCTGAGTGCTGCATCAGCGGTTGTGCGTGCGACACGTTGCGACACCCAGCCGTTTTTTTTTGGGGTGGAATCGAAGCAGCACGGCGAAAATTAGTTTAGGCAGCTTTGCCGAAGCAGAACGATGTGTTTGACCTGGAACGGTCTGTAGCAGTTCGCCCCTGGAACAGCAGCAGCTTGGCTTTCTCTTCCCGAGGCAGAACGGTCGTTTGCCAAATGTTGCCGGGAACCCGTCCCAATACTAATCTTTACTACAGCAACGGGAACCGGAATTGGCTCCAGTACTAATCTGTACTACAGCTATGGGAGCTGGGAACCGGCCCCAGTACTAATCTGTACTAGAGCAACGGGAACCGGAATTGGCACCTTGTCTGTACTACAGCAATGGGAGCCGGGAACCGGCCCCAGTACTAATCTGTACTACCCCAGTACTAATCTGTACTACAGCAACTGGAACCGGAATTGGCCCCAGTACTAGTCTGGCAGCAATGGGAGCCGAGAACCGGCCCCAGTACTAATCTGTACTACAGCAAGGGGAACCGGAATTCGCCCAGTACTAGTCTGGCAGCAATGGGAGCCGGGAACCGGCCCCAGTACTATTCTGTACTACAGCAACGGGAACCGGAATTGGCCCCAGTACTAGTCTGTACTAGAGCAAGGGGACCCAGCCAGTACTAAGTTGTACTACAGCACCGGGAACTGGAACCGCCCCCAGTACTAATCTGTACTGCAGGAACGGGAATAGGAATCGGCCCCAGTACTGTTTGTACACCTACAGCACCGGCAACCAGAATCGGCCCAAGTACCAATCTGTACTACAGCAACGGGAGTTGGAATCGGCAGCAGTCGTACTTTGTACTAGACCAACGGAACCGGGCTCGGCCGAAGGAATTGGGTCCAGTACTGAATCGTACTACAGCGACAAAAACCGAAATCGGCCCTTGGAACCGACCCCAGTAATAATCAGTACACCAAGATCGGAGTCGGAGTACGAGCGAAGGAAAGTATTGATTTCTGATACAGATCGAAGCAACCAAGCACAGGCTCGGCACCCCCGATGACAAAGCAAGCTTGTCTGGCCTTCACTACAGGAGGTGCCCATCTGGTTGTTGGACACAGGTCGAAGCGAGTGTGACATCTTGCAGTTCTAAGTTTGGGTCATGATGTGTAGCCCTAGCTGCAGGCTTCAGCGTGCGAGTTTTTGTGGGCGGTGGCATGCTCTACATCAAAGCACTGCTTCTTGAAAAGCTCACAGCAGCTGCCATGGACGAGGTACATTCTGGTCTCGGCAAACAGCATCGTCTCTCAAGATCTGCTTTGCATGCCGAAGACACAGAGCCACCGACACACACACACACACACACACTGACGGCACAGCACAACAAATTTTGCGGTCGCCCGTCCGAGACTGGTCAGCGAAGCCAAAACCAGGCTCCAATGAGCATGTCCAGATGCTCATCCAAAACGAAGCCTCGAGCCCCTTCTGATCGCAGATCACTCTTCCTTGACATCGCCTGGAATCGTGCTGCTTTTGCGATAGGAAGAGTCAAGAACACTGCTGTAACAGATCTGCCTGCCATAGGGGCAGCGGCCGCCTTGCTGGCTTGCTCCTATACCAGGAACTCAGAGAAAGAAACTTGCCCAAAAGAATCTTCCCCTTCAGACGGAATGAGTTAAGGAGTGAATGAGTGACTGAGGGAAAGACTGCATGAGTGAGTCCGTGAAAATCAATGAGACAGCGAGTCATTCAGAATGAGAGAGAGAGAGAGAGAGAGAGAGAGAGAGAGAGAGAGAGAGAGAGAGAGAGAGAGAGAGAGAGAGAGAGAGAGAGAGAGAGAGAGAGAGAGAGAGAGAGAGAGAGAGAGAGAGAGAGAGA